GCTCAGATGGAATGCATGGTCACATGAAGGCAACAGGAATCGATGGTTTTAGAGTAAGTCTTTCAAGTGCCGTTAGTTCATCAAGTCAAGGTTCTGGGCATGATGATGGTGATGCCTTGGGGGATGTTTTTATTTGGGGTGAAGGTATTGGGGATGGTGTAATGGGTGGTGGACCCCACCGTGTTGGAAGCTCTTTGGATGTCACACTGGATTCTTTATTGCCTAAGGCTTTAGAATCTGCTGTTGTATTAGATGTGCAGAATATAGCTTGTGGTGGACGCCATGCTGCACTAGTGACAAAGCAAGGAGAGATGTTCTCCTGGGGTGAAGAATCAGGAGGCAGGCTTGGGCATGGCATTGATGCAGATGTTTTGAATCCAAAGCTTATAGATGCCCTCAGCATTTCAAACATAGAGCTTGTTGCTTGTGGTGAATATCATACCTGTGCTGTAACACTTTCTGGTGATCTGTATACTTGGGGTGATGGTCATTTTGGTCTTGGGCATGGGAATGAAGTGAGTCATTGGGTTCCAAAAAGAGTAAATGGGCCTTTGGAGGGCATCCATGTCTCATTTATCTGTTGTGGTCCTTGGCACACTGCTGTTGTAACCTCTGCTGGGCAATTGTTTACTTTTGGTGATGGAACCTTTGGTGTTCTTGGCCATGGAGATAGAAAAAGCATTTTTAAACCTAGGGAAGTGGAATCTCTCAAGGGACTTCGAACTGTACGAGCAGCTTGTGGTGTTTGGCATAGTGCTGCTGTTGTAGAAGTCATGGTTGGAAACTCAAGCTCTAGCAATTGTTCATCCGGAAAACTATTTACATGGGGAGATGGTGATAAAGGTCGACTTGGACATGGTGACAAGGAATCAAGACTTGTGCCCACCCGTGTTGCTGCTCTTGTTGAACCCAACTTTTGCCAGGTTGCTTGTGGACACAGCTTGACTGTTGCTCTAACCACTTCAGGTCAAGTATACACTATGGGTAGTCCTGTTTATGGCCAGTTAGGAAATCCTCAAGCTGATGGAAAATTTCCATGTCGTGTTGAAGCAAAAATTGCAAAGAGTTTTGTTGAGGAGATAGCTTGTGGTGCTTACCATGTTGCTGTGTTGACTTCCCGAACTGAAGTTTACACGGGGAAAGGGTGCAAATGGAAGATTGGGTCGCGGGGATATTGATGACAGAAATTCACCAACTTTAATTGAAGCTCTAAAAGACAAGCAGGTCAAAAGCATTGCTTGTGGTACCAATTTTAATTTACTGCAGCCATCTGCCTTCACAAATTAAATGGGTTTCAGGGGTTGATCAATCTGTGTGTTCTGGATGCCGACTTCCATTTAATTTTAAAAGGAAACGGCATAACTGTTATAATTGTGGGCTTGTATTTTGTCATTCATGCAGCAGCAAGAAATCTCTGAGGGCATCAATGGCACCAAATCCTAATAAATCATATCGTGTATGTGATAATTGCTTTTTTAAATTGAAAAAAGCTGCTGAAACTGATGCTTCATGTTAGTAGAAGAGGAAGTATGGATCAGGGGATAAATGATGTTATTGATAAAGAGGAGAGGAGAAGTTGGATACAAGGTCCCGTTCTCATCTTGCTAGGTTTTCTTCAATGGAAACCTTTAAACAAGGTGAAGTCCGCACTTCCAAGCAAAAGAAAAAGTTGGAATTCAATAGCAGTCGTGTATCACCTATTCCAAATGGTAGCTCACAATGGGGAACCCTCAATGCCTCCAAATCTTTTAATCCGGTGTTTGGTTCATCTAAGAAGTTCTTTTCAGCTTCTGTTCCTGGATCAAGAATCATTTCTAGAGCAACATCTCCAGTATCAAGACAGGCAAGTCCACCTCGTTCTACTACACCAACCCCAACTCTAGGCGGACTCACTTCGCCAAAGATTGTACTCGATGATTCTAAGAAGACAAATGATAACCTTAACCAAGAACTCATTAGATTGAGAGCACAGGTAAGCATCTTACTGTTCTACCATTTCCCAATAGTGCAACTTTCTCATTTTACTGTAAGATTATTTCATGTGGATCTCTTAAGGCTTGTTTGGTGCAAAAAAAGAAAAACTCATTCCCTTTGTTTTGTTTATCCCAAAAATTGGGATAATTTGTCCCACTGCCTCCCCACCTTTATTATAATCCCCACATTTTAGATTGGGTGTTGTAATCCCAAATCCATTAAAATGAACCAATCACAGGATTAGGTTATCCAATTCTCCCTAATCCTATGAACAAAACTACTCAGAGGCTTTTGACAGTAATACTTGGATCCCCAGTTGTTTCGAAATCACAGTTAAAATCCCTTTGGTTTCAGCTTGCATTTCAGTCAGTCAATCAGGTCTTTCATGCAAAATAATGATATGATGATAAATTTATTGCATTTTCATTTAAAAAGTAACTATAAATTCAAATAATCTTTGTATTTGGTTATAATAGGGTTAATTTTACTTTACCCACTTGTTATTAGAGTTTAGTCATATTTTATAAGCACTTAGCTTAGCTTAGCTTGAATTGTCAACATTTACAGTTAATTATTTCATTAAAAATATTATTATTTCATTATTTTACCCCTAAATGACATGCAAAAGGAATGGGTGAGTTCATGCTCCAAAGCTTCATTTCCAATGACATATTTGGCATAATTTGTTCTTTAGATAAGTTTCGACTAACAGGCACTCAAAATGGTTACATTGTGGTGTATGATAAGGAGAAGAATTGCTTCAATAAAGTTCATTGGGACACTTGGGACATCTGGGTCATGAAGGATTATAAGTTTGAATGGGAAGTTCACTGTGAGCTTGAGTGAACTATCAGAATAGGGATCTTGATACGCACCCAAAATAAGAGATGGTTTACTCAGAAAAAAAGGAAGGTTGCAAATCAGGCAAATCAGAATATACAAGGAAGGCTTAACTCAAGGGATTTGACAAAAATAAATAGAGGCATAATCATCTCAACAATCATCTCCACAATCATCTCCTTTCTATAAGAGTTAATTACCGATTTGGTCCCTTGACTATTGTGAAATTACCAATTTGGTCCTCGACTATATTTCTTACCCAATTAAGTCCTCCAACTATAAAAACTTTAACCAATTTGGTCCTTTGCTTGGGCAGCCGTCAACCTGCTGTTTAATGTGAGGGTAGTTTCGGAATTTATACTTTGACTGGAATTTCGCTCAAGGGTTGGCCGTCAAGAACGTGGAGGAGAGGTTACAGACGTTAGGAAGCAAGTTAACATCACCCACGCGCCTAATTTGTGCTCCGTGCTGGCGCCGGCGTTTCTCCCGCAAGCGGCGCAGAGTTTCGCGAAGTGCAGGAAGCTTCATTGAGAGACATACTGAAAAGTTTATTACAGTGTTCTAGGAGAATGTTTCATTCCAGAAGAGAAAGGAAAAAGAATTAATATACTAGCATGGCTACAAGCACGTGACATTGACTGCTCCTAACAAACATTGTGCTGAGCTAGAGTCTTGTTGGGGTGTGAGTTGCTGCGACTACATATACCTCTGTATATCTCTTGTTACAGAGGGACTTCACCAGCGGCAAGAAAATCCTGCCGGCGTTTGCGGACACGGAGGGAATCACCGGCGCTAAAAGAGCCTCGCTGAACACCAAGCTGTAGCCTAGCCCCAGGGAGGAGCTGCCGAAGAGCGAGACGAAACTCGGCTTACACAAGTCAGATAACGGTAGAAGATAATCTAAAGAGAATCTACTATCAGTACCTGCCACTCCTCAAATCCTTGCAGACTTCCAGGGTTCAATTTCTTGATAGCAACAATCATCCCACTACCGGGTTTAGATGGTGCAAGCGTGTTCTCATCAACCCATCCTTTAAACACTGTCCCAAAACCTCCAGTCCCCAAAATGTAAACCTTCAAATTTGGTGTAGGCAAAATTGTTCCATTCGCATTTGAGTCTTCACTCTCAGTCGAACTGTAAATCTCCAAATTTGGTGTAGGTAGACATTTTCCATTGGCATTTCTACCCTCACTCTCTGCTCCTGAAAGCTATCTATAACCACCAATTCTGCTCAGTGCAGAAAATGCAGTAGAGCCTTTATTGTTGCTTGGCAATGCCCCTATATGCAAAATATTACAGACAGTAATGTAAAAGATCAAGTATTTATGGCTTTTAATTCAAAAGAACAAGCCACAACATAGAAAGCTCGACTTTCCAGTTTGGAAGTTGCGACAACATAGAAAGCGCGATTAGCCAAGGGATGGGGTCGCCGAAGGCGGAGAACACGGCGGAGAACATGTGGGTTTTGATGATTCCGACGATGGTGGCCAGGAATCAGTATAAATGGCGCAGCCGCGCAGGGCTAATGAAAATTCCTAAACTACCTTCCCATTAAACTGCAGGTTGACGGCTGTCTGAGCAAAGGACTAAATTGGTTAACGTTTTCATAGTTGAAGGAGTTAATTGGGTAAGAAATATAGTCGAGGATCAAATTGGTAATCTCACAATAGTCAGAGGACCAAATTGGTAATTAACTCTTTCTATAATTATTTATTTCCTAGCACTATAAATTAGAATCTCTAGATGAGAGTAAATCATCCAATAATCTTCCTTAGTCTTTAAGCTTTAGTAGCTAGGCAAGAGCCTAAAACTCTTGTGGGGCAAGAGCCTAAAACTCTTGTTGGGGAAAGTCTTGTGACTTCCTGTTTCTTTTCTTCAGTTTCTAGTCAATCAAAATACCTCCTTGTTCTTTTCTCTAACAAATTGGTCCGACCTGCCGTTGGATGGCGAACACACGAGATTCCCGCATAGAGACGTTAGAGAAGAACCAAGATGCAATCCGTACTGAGTTGACTACATTGACCGATCGATTTACAGCCATAGAAGATTCTGTGGCTAGGATGTCTGATCTCATCGCTCTCTCCTTCCAAGGCGGAGGGCACAACAATGCCAGTACTTCATCAACTTCCATCCCAACGCCGAATTCAACCTCTCTTCCAGAATATGTTCAGCCGGACAACACCTCGCTGCCCATTAGAAAAACAGAACTTCCTACATTTGAAGGCACATATCCGATTGGGTGGTTAGCTAGAGTGGAGCAGTACTTTGCCATTCATCACACCCGAGAGGATTTGAAGGTCCCAACAGCTTTCGTTAGTATGGAGGGGGCAGCTCTACATTGGCTCCAATGGCTACAACAACAACAACCCACTCTTGGACTAAATTCACACATGACCTTTTGGAAGAATTTGGCGACGAATTGCCTGGGCCACCGTTTGAACAGCTTGCCGCTCTTCGTCAAACGGGCTTGGTGGATGAATTCATCGCTGCGTTTCGAGCTCGCATTGCCCAAATTCCTGGACTTGCTCCTCACATTCAATTAGGGCTTTTTCTCAATGGCTTGAAACCTGCAATTCGGGTGCGGCTTCGACCGAATGATGTGACAGATCTCCGAACAGCGATGCGTGTCGCTCGTGCGGCAGAACGAGAAATTGAATTTCTCTCCACAGGCCGGCTCCTTGGACGCAGTCTGCAAGATGAAAATGCAGCGCTCCAGATAATTCATTCACATAGTGGGTCTACTTGGTCTAATGGGCATGGGAAGAATTCCCAAACCAATTCTGTTTTGAATTATTCACAGCCCAAACCCATTCCAACCCAGTCTCAATTCTCTGGCAGCAATCAAACATCTTCCTTCTCCTCCCAAACACAACCTGCGTTTCCTGCTATGCAGTCTTCAGTACGGAATTCCAGCACATCAACATCACGAGCTCCGGCACGACATTATTCTAACAAAGAGTATCTGGACATGCGCGCCAAAGGACTTTGTTTCCGTTGTCAGCAACCGTACAGTCCGCTTCATGTATGCCCGAATAAATCCTTGCAAACTCTAATTGCAGCAGAGGATGACGAGGACGAAACGAGCGACGAGCCTGGTGTAACTGACCAAATCGACACCGGACAATATAGGGCAGTCTTTCCAATCTAGCCTTGGGGACAAGGCTGTTTCTTTGGTGGGTGGCAATGATACGCACCCAAAATAAGAGATGGTTTACTCAGAAAAAAAGGAAGGATGCAAATCAGGCAAATCAGAATATACAAGGAAGGCTTAACTCAAGGGATTTGACAAAAATAAATAGAGGCATAATCATCTCAACAATCATCTCCTTTCTATAATTATTTATTTCCTAGCACTATAAATTAGAATCTCTAGATGAGAGTAAATCATCCAATAATCTTCCTTAGTCTTTAAGCTTTAGTAGCTAGGCAAGAGCCTAAAACTCTTGTTGGGGAAAGTCTTGTGACTTCCTGTTTCTTTTCTTCAGTTTCTAGTCAATCAAAATACCTCCTTGTTCTTTTCTCTAACAGATCTCCAGATGAGAAAGTGTGTTATTTATATAATTAATGCAGTAGTCTAAACTCTAATCATGACCTGAGGTTAATATTTCTTGTCTCCTCTTTTGGTCATTGTGTAGTGTAATCACACCTTCCTATATCCAATTTCATCTCTTAAAACTTGTTGGAAAACTAAGAGCTGAAGAGTCAAAGTCACATTAATTTATCAGATGTGGTAAATGACAATGTTATGAATCTAGATTCTTATGTATCTCTCATAACCCATAAATTCTAGGCTCTTGTAATTATCCCACCACCAAGTAATCTAGCAATTTATCTCTGATCATATTTTATTTTTCATTCTCTTGTTATCATCATAATTTATTTCTGCTAGGTGTAATACTTGAAAGTTGAAACACCATTGGATCCAAGTGTTATCCCTAAGCTATATTATGTTATTTTTAGCTAAAGGTTATTACCTATGCTGTATGTGGCAGCCATGGAATTTTTCCCAATAATGAACACTTGCTTTTTTGTGGGATAGGAAGAAAGTAACAAACTTCAATAAATGCTTGTATAACCCATTAGAGAAGCATCACATATAGATTTCATCCTTTTTGACATGATTTCATTTGATTTGTGGGCATGCAGTAACAGGTTGTTGGTGATTGTAAAAATTAAGTAAAAATGTCATAGAAGCTCTCTGTATATGTGGATTTTAGGGTGATTTAGATGGGATATTGGATTTCATGCTTCTGTTAGTCTTCAAGATGTTATTAAGGATGATGAAGGGGCATTTTGAAGCTAATGTGTATAGAGTAAAAACCAAAGCTTTATTTGACCTTTTCTTCAAAAAATAATTTGAGTAAAGGCCGAATGTATGTGATAAGTCAATAATAACTCTGGATCCTATGTGGGTAAAAAAGAAGATTGAGAGTTACAGAGTACATTTTAATTCAAGATCTGCATGCCATTTCTTAGGAAAGTTATTTCTCAATCTTATTCTAGGAAAAGGACCTACATTTCTGCACTGCTGGAGTGTTATTTCCATGTAAACCTCTATAGTTTCTCATTACCACCTTTATTTTCACTTGGTTTTTCCTTTTACCCAGCATTCTTGGCTTTATGTGTGCAGTGTGTATGAAATGCAATTGGTCCGTGGGGAATTTTTCAAACTGATGGGAAATACTATCCACTGTTTCCATCCCCTTGCTACTTTTAACATTTTGTTTGATCTATCTTTTTCTCAGGTAGACAATCTTACACGCAAGGCGCGCCTTCAGGAGATAGAACTAGAAATGACTACCAAACAGCTGAAGGAGGCAATAGCAATAGCAGGGGAGGAGACTGCCAAGTGCAAAGCAGCAAAAGAAGTAATCAAGTCACTCACTGCTCAGGTAAGATGGATGCTTGTGCTAAATTGCCTGTATTAGTGACAAATCTATTTTTTATATAGTAAAACATTGTTTTCTAAAAGCATTATATTAGCCAATTCCTGTGTCAAAATTTTACTGCATTTCAAGCTTTTACATCTAAAAAAAGACAAGGTAGATAATTAGGCTTCCATGGCAAAAGGAAAAAAATAGGATGTCAATTACTAAAAGTACACGTTTTAATATAACAATTATTTCAATAAAGAACCAAACATGTGCAAATCGTATGCAATAAAAAATATATCCTCCTAGCAGTATCATATCAACCAAATAAAAACATTATAATCTTTTTAAAAAAATTCAGTAGTAGCATGCCCCTTTGTTCAACAATAATCAACAATAAAGAGAGGCATCTACAAATAAAATAAAATAAAATAAAATAAATTTGAATATAGCCGTAATATCAAATGAAAAGATCTAACAATAAGATTTTTTTTTTCATATGTTATTTGCTATCTTTTGAAAATAAATGTATGGTGAAATATAAATCTGTTTAAACATGTATAAATACACTCAACTAAACATCAAATTACAAAATAAAATTTACAAATTATTTGTTTCAAATCCAAAAGTTAGTTATCATTGAACAATATCAATATATTCTTTCAAATGTTGTTAAAATTTAATCATGTTGGATCCCTTACAAATAATTAAATATTATGAACACTACTAAAATACAGAAATTCTCTATTAAATTTCACACTAATTATACTTGAAATTCTAAAAAAATCCAACAAAAAAAAAAAAAATCCTAAAAAATGCACAAAACATTCATTCATCAAATTACAATTCAAGATTGCAAACCAAATGCTTGAGTAGATCTCTGGACAAACATTAGTTATTGTGGGAAAGTTTCTGTCGTTGTATTCCCTAATGTAAGTGATTTATTTTTGGTTCGGAATCTTAGATTAGGGATTTTATTTCCTCATTTATCCTGATTTTCTCTGCTTTTATTTCCTGATTTAGCCCCTACAACTTTATGTGTGTGTTTGTGTAAGCAACTCTTACATAAGTTTTTTTCCTATTAATCACTACAACGTGGCATTTTATTGGATGCTTTTTATAGTTGATTATTATGTACATTTTTTATTTACTTATGGTGGGGTTTTGGTCAGTTCATGAGTAATCCATGAAAATAAATAAATTTTCTTTTCTAATTAAAACTCCATATTAGGGAGTGAAAATTATGTAGTGATTTTAGTAGGTGAGAATAGGGGTGTAAATGAGCCGAGCGGTTCGCGAGCTGCTCGGTCAAAGCTCGGTTCGAGCTCAGTCAAAATTGAGCTCGAGCCGAACTCGAGCGGCTCGTTTAGTAAACGAGCCGAGCTCGAGCTCAAATATTCTAGGCTCGTGGCTCGTCGAGCCGCTCGCGAGCCATAATTAAATAACAATTAAATAAATAGATAAATATTATATATATATATATATATATATATATATATATATATATATATATATATATATATATTTAAATTACTTAAAACTCGCAAAGTAGGAAAATCTTAAATCTTGAAGTTTGGACTTTTAAATTTTTAAAGTTTTTATTATTTATGTATGGATAAAATAATATTTACTATTAATTAAAATATGAATTCAAATATATCAAACTCGCGATTAAAATCGAGCCTGAACTCGAGCTCGAACTCGAGCTCGAATTCTTGAGCTTGAACAATCGAGCTACTCGAGCGCGAAAAATTGCCGAGCCGAGCTCGAGCATCATTTTTTGTGCTCGATCGAGCTCGAGCTCGAGCATCATTTTTTGTGCTCGATCGAGCTCGAGCTCGAGCATCATTTTTTGTGCTCGATCGAGCTCGAGCTCGAGCCGAACTATGCTTATCGAGCTCGAGCTCGAGCCAACCCATGCTCGAGCTCGGCTCGGCTCGTTTACACCCCTAGGTGAGAATAACATTTTTTTTTTTCAATATAGAATTGACATTTTTAAGAGTTATGGTGCTAGCTGTTTTGCCATCTATCCAATAATGTTGAATTTTTAATTTAATTTAATTTTGTTTTTGTTTTTTTGTTTTTTTTTGTTTTTGGTTTTTGTTTTTTTGTTTTTTTGCTAAATTTGTTCACTATGATACTTCTGTTGCTAATCATCTGTTTGTTGTTGACACTTGATGTAGCTGAAGGAAATGGCTGAAAGATTGCCTGTTGGTGCTGCCCGAAACATAAAATCTCCTACATCTGCTTCCTTTAGCTCAAGTCCTCTATCTGTTGACATTTCAAATGTGTCTATTGACCATTTGAATGGTCAAGTATCTTCTCAGGAATTAGACTTAAATGGAGGCAACAGCCAGCCACTTTCTAATGGATTGAGCATTATATTGCTGGTAATTGGAATATTGGTCATAACAGGCAAGGGAATTCTGAGGCAATGGCAAGAAATGGGAACAGAACAAAAGAGAGTGATTCTCGAAATGAGAATGAATGGGTCGAGCAAGATGAGCCTGGTGTGTATATTACACTTACTTCCTTGCCAGGAGGCTTGAAGGATCTTAAGCGTGTTCGCTTCAGGTATCTTAATTCTAACTAGATTTTACTTTTCCAATTGGATATGCTTTGTTGGTGCCTTTACTTTTTGCATTGCCCTTGTGAGCTAATTAGCAATGTATCTCTTCAAAACATTGAGTTAGAGCAGTCAAAGGATTTATTATGTATGAAATTAAAATCTTAATAACTGTTTAAATGCAGCCGGAAGAGGTTTAGTGAGAAACAGGCAGAACAGTGGTGGGCAGAGAACCGAGCAAGAGTTTACAAACTGTACAATGTACGCATGTCTGATAAGTCCAGCATTCCCACTGGAAGTGAAGAATAAGCCCATTGACATGCATGGGAATGCCATTATACAACTCACTAAAGGTCTTTTTGTCACTGTCCCCAACATTAGCCACAGGGATGATCGCTTTCAACAATTTACTCGGGGTAAGAATCGAGGGTTGAATTAGAATTAGGCGTTTTCATATGGGTTTTCTAGCCTCTTTTCCCATCATTCTTTGAGCACCCTAATTCTTATGGCTATGGTTTGTCATAGTTGTTCATTTCCTTTGACCCCCTCAATTTTTGCGTTCCTGGGGAATTGAGGGTTACAAATGTAAATTCCACAGGCTTACTTTCCTGGGCTTCTTTTACTTTCTTTTTTTTTTTTTTTCATTGGAATGAACTGACGACTGACAAAATTACATCTCAACAATATTGAGGTAACTCATCTGTGACAAATTGCATTATAAAAGTGAGATGTTTCTTTTATGTTGATATACTTTACTCACATTTATGCTACGATTTCTAATCAGGTGAAAACCAACCTTCAACTTGCGAATTGCGAACTTGTAAAGAATTGCATTTCAATTACTATATGATTGCACTGTTACCGTTTCTAGACATGCCTGGAGGACCTGTATTTGAATGTAGTGTAATCATGTAGTAATTGCAGTGCAATCCTTTCACAAGTCCGCAGGTTAAGATTAAGTATGGACCTTTATGATACATTCACATACACATATACTGACACTATTAATCTAGAAACACTAGACATGGTGTGA